CGATTTTTATAGTTATAGATACCGCTTAAGAAATAAAGAGCTATTGTTAAAAATACCTATAGCTCTGAGAAGTAGTTTTGTCATTTTTAGTGTCATGTCATAGGCTAGACGTACGTGAAAGCGAATTTATTTATTTTTATTTTTTTCTTTCTTCAAAATAAACGTTTTATACTAATTTTTTAAAATTTTATTTAATTTTGAAATGCTTCACGATAAAATATCCTGTGTTTTCGACCTTTTCAATTTGACATGTCTTCCTTCTTTTATTTTATTTTTATATCTGGCAACCCTAATCACATGGATAAACTGTTTATAAATAACCCATATCCGGTACCCTACTATTAAACAAGGGAAATGTGTGTTGGCCACCTATGTTAATTTTTTCGTTAGTTTTATAAGTTTAAAAATACTTCAAAAAAAAAATAAAAAATTCTAGTGCAGCGTTTCTTAAACTTTTGAATTTGTCGGACCGGTGGACATGTTTTGAAATTGCATCGGAGACCGGTGCCTGATTTCTTAATTACATTCCCTTTTTTTTTCGACCATAAATATTCATGTTGTGCGGACCGGCAACATAAGTCTCCCGTACCCGGCGCCTGTCCGCCGATCACCATTCGAAAATCACCGCTCTTCTACTAGAAAGCACCTTGGCCTTGGCGCATCTATGTATGGTTAATGGCCTTGAAGCTAAATAATTAAAATAAAGTCAGTAATGAGTACGTTGACTGTAAAAGGCGTGAAAATAATTTTTGCCCAGTGCAACGGAAGGGGACTAACTCGGGCACTGCACTATTGTAATTTGTTGCCGAGTTGCCAGCTGTCCGTAAGTTGACTGAAAGTTTGCAATTTAAAAAAAAATAAAAATAATAAATAAGAAACGACTTGTCCATTCAAGTCTTTAAGAACTTTAGGGTGTTCGTGAAAATAGAAACCATGCATGGGCGCCCGCAGGGGGAGGCAAGGGGGCACTTGCGCCCCCCCCCCCCCCCCCTAAAATTTTTAGACAAAAATAGACAAAAAATGTATTAAAGTAAAGAGAAAATAAAGAGAAAGTAACTAAGCTGATGTCCTGTCCGTTCGTTCACCATACAAATACGCTACAGTAAATTAAAACTACATAAAAACATTACAAAAAACTTTTTGCCCCCCCCTCCCCCGGAAAGTTAATCGATTTTTTTGCCCCCCCCCCCCTTCGAAAGTTTTCTGCGGGCGCCCATGAAACCATGGTATTACAATATTTTTCAAGCGTAGCAAAGTGAGAAACATCAGTGTTTGTGATGGCTTATTGCTGGCTCGATTGCTTTAAACGTGTATAACGTATGATCATATGTCCTTATCGTGAGAAGTTCAACTTTGATGGGGAAAAACCACACAATAGACTCTGATGATAGACGAGTGTCATGTTCGTGTTCACGTGACTTTGAGTTGAGTCAAAGATACATACTAAACATAACCATATGGGGACACACAGGCATACGAATATTGGACAAAAAGAGTAAATGGAAACATTAAGGTAAGTATGCTCAAAAGTTTATTATTTTTTAATGTGTTCTTTAAAATTATGTTTGTAAAAAACAAATTGTGGAGACTTAAAATAGTTGTGCGTAAATTTATTCTTCTTCTTTTTTTTTTTTTTATTGAGTTGGCCTGGCTGCCAAAATTTGTGATAGTCTATTTAACAGCAGGTAGCCTACAGTGCTGGCAAGGCAGCCCATATGATACTTATTCGTTTCATTCTTTCAAACCAAATTAAACAGCCCCTAAAAAACAAAGTGTTTCGTTTAAATCCTTTATAAAATCTGATATAAAAATTTTGACAAAGCATGCATCAAGTAACGCACTTTATAAGAATACCAATTAGTGCGCCCCACCCCCCACCCCCACCCCGCCCTTGCCAAGACTCGTAACCACATTATTTGTTCACGCCCCTGAACTATAGGCCTATTAATAGTCTAATGATTCATCCGCTTTCTTGTCGCAGATTTATTTTACCAAAAAGTTTAAAAAAACATAAGAAAATATTACGCACCAAACGCACTTAAAAAAAAAAATAATAATAATTTAGCGCCGTATTCCGGGAATTTTATTTTGTCTTCCCCTTAAAAAAAAAACAGGAAAAACTGACTTTGAGGAGTTGGGGTTGGGGGATGGGGCTAAAAATTTGAAAGAATGTCTTGTCGTCGGCAAAAAGTCTATGTGCCGAGTTTCAGCACGATAGCTTGATCGCAAGCGGGTCGATTAGCCGTCCTAAGATTTTGCCACCCAGCCAGCCAGCAACAAAGGCGAAGTTAATATAAAGGTTTTAATACATTCTTTAAAAATATAAGTAACCATAGATCACGATTAGAATTGAAACAAACGAAAAAAACATTGAACGAAGAGAAGGCGGTGCTGCATTACTGTTGCCTCCTGGTGTAATTTCAATTGGACTAGGCTGCAAAGAAAAAAGAAAAAAAAGAGAAGAAGAAAGATTTAATAAACTTCTAACTTTACATCATACAAGGGTTCCCGCATTTATTTATAATTATCACCACTATATTTAATGGTGTATTATTTAATCTAACTCCCTTCAAGGCTCAAAGTAAATAAATGATTTAATAATTGATCTCCATTGAAACTAACACAAATAATTTATAATAAAACGTGAAATTAAATGACTACAAAACTAATAAATAAAACTTAAACAATTATTTAAAAACCACAACAAAACTAGATTTTTGGTTTTATTTTGTTAGTTGTAGATCACATTAAAAAATAAATGCATTTTAGAGCGATTATTTGTATTAAGCTAATAGTTAATCGTAAAGACACATTTTTTAGTTTTTTTGTTTTTTGTTGTTTTTTTTGTTTTAACACTCCTACAGTTTACTTAACAGTTGAAACCGAGCTTTTATTTCTCTTGTCAACAATATCATCCAGAGTTATCGTACTTTAAAGAAACGAACAGAGATTTCATCAAAAAATAATAAAAAATACACAGACGGTTTATAAACCAACCATTGAAGCCTTAAAAACAAAAAAAACAAAATTAGATGTTATTTTTTTTAATGGAAATTAATAATGAAACAAATTTCTTTACTTTCGGCTGGACACTATGTGTTCCTGGGTAGAATTGTATTACAATAGTTTTATTAGTTTAAATATGACTTTTTTATATGTTCCATTATGTTGGCTGCGGTAGCTTTTATCAAATATTTTTTTTTTATATTTTGTAATGCTGAATTTAGTTGTTTTAATGGGAAATAATAATAAATTTTAAAAAATCTCTTTACTTTCAGCTGGACATTATCTGTTGCTGTGGGAAATTTTATCACACTAGCTTATTATTAGTTTTAAGATTAAGCTTTTACAATTATCTGGAAATGGAAGCAGTCACACCACAAGCTAATTAAGTATAAGTGTAAGAGATGCTAAACTCACAAGTGTGTGTATATATGTATATATAGGGCAAATATGCTAATGTACTTAGTGTGTGTGTATATATATATATATATATATATATATATATATATATATATATATATA